TATATATATATATATATATATATATATATATGCTAATTTGTAATTTGTGGACTGTTATAGGAAACAAATGGTGAATAAGATTCTTCATTGATGTTTTAATTTTTCGATCATGAACCAGTAAATTTCATTTCAGGTTGCAAACTTATATTTCCCCGACGAACATACTTTTTACTGCCATAATTGTTGTCTGCGATTACAGTTAACTCATCAGTTGCCGTCTCCTTTTGAATTAACTTCTTATTTCACTAACGTTTTCACATCTCATGCTGACCAAGGCTGTCCAGAAAAACCGCGTATTCTATCAAAAAATGCTAATGAATTGTGTTTGCTCTGTGATTATTGCGCTTTTGAGTATGAAATATTCTAATTTTGCAGTGTATTCTTTTAATTTTGTTGGAAAGAAAATCTGGTTACAGGTCGATTTTGACTGGTTATTTGTTTCAGTACGAACTTTTCTTTTCGAGAGACAATTTTTTTCGAGGCTTTTCCTGTTCTTTGTTCTAGCGTTTTTAGTAGCATAAACAAAGCATTTCTTTAAAATTGTTTTTCCATATATGAAATTTTATAGTATACTACGGATTAACGTTGTAATTTTCATTAAGTTGCGTGCTTCAGCTCAGTTATTGTGTGTGCATAAAAAATCAAGCCCAGTCGTGTTCTTCATTTGACATCTCGAAATGATTAAAGTTGTTAAATTAACAGGCATTAGTTGGTGTAAAATAATTAGTGTATCATTGGAAATTGGGTTGTACATTAATTCTAGAAATTCCCAAGGAATTGTGAGTAGTCCAAATGCTTTCACATTCATATCAGTTTTGAAATTTCTGAAGTGTTATCTGTTTATTTTTTGAGAATTGAGGTGTGAAGTATTATTTTAGAGTGCTATAGTTTTACATTCTGAATAAATTAGCCTAGCATTAATAGTTTATATATAGATAGAGAGTACTGCTCTGAGATCAGTAAACATCTTTATGACTGTTGAAGTGGATTTGTATCTGGTCGCAAGGATTAGTCGGTATTGCGAGGTGCATACAGTATATTTATCTCTCTGGCGTCACATTACCTATCGCACAAGATTTCCATCATTTTGGCTTATTTGTTTTATTTATTCTTTTTTGCATTTTCTCACCTTTCTTTTTTGCAGAATTTTTAGAAATAAAAAAAGAATGGTGGAATGTTAAGGGAAGGTAATTATAAGAATGATGGAATGACTGGCAGTTAGTCAGTTCACCGTCTGATACTAAGCGATAGCTTGTTTTTTACTTTGAATTCAACTGGCATATTACTTATATTTTGATTATTGTCTCAAAATTTTCAAAAATGTCACAGACTTTAGAAAAAATGGAAATAAAAAAAGATGCAGTGCTGAAATCAAGATTGAACATAAACATATGCAATAGATGACAGTGCATCGTTTTCCCTTAGCGAATGCAACAGTAGCTGTGTTAGTCGATCATTTTGATTGCTGTCAATGTGAAACATTTGAAAATGATAAATGCAGAGTTCAGAAGGGTTACTTTTGGAAGCAGTTGTTGCCAGTGGCATACTTCTCGCAATGAGAACAAACTGAAAACTTTCTCTTCTCAAAAATGTTGCAATTTCAATTTTTCCCATTCCTTCTCATAGCCAACATCATTTTCCGAAACAATTTGTCCTTTTCAGAGAGAGACGTCTGATTTTTGCTTCCAATACGTCAATTGCATTACTATAAATAAATCATCAATTTAAACAAATCCGAGCACATATAGAACACACTTCTTCCCTCTAAGATTAATGTTACTTGCGAGGAGAGTGAGTTTATCTAAGCATTATAAACACTAGATGATGATAAGTGATGTTGCAAAGTAAAAAATAAGTTACGGTATGTTTACTTATTTTTCTTCTCTTTTTCTATTCAGTCATAATTATAATAGTAGCAATGATGTGGTACAGTGAGCAGAACTTAATTTGCAGCGAAAGCTTTACAAAATATTAGTGAGGTTACTTGTCTACCTATAGTGCTATTACATCCCTCGTAAAGTATGCAACAGCAGTGCTCACAAATTGGTTCTCCAATTCAATTCATAAACTTAGTGTAAGCAATGAATTGAATATTCAGTTCATTAAATTATCTTAAGCTTATTTTTCGCTTAGACTAGCACTGATGGATTAGTTGAACCTTTGAGTCATATTTCAAATTTATTAGTCCATTAATTGAAAGAATTTGTAAAACTGCATTTGCAAAAGTGCTTAGATCATATCTAATCTATCAAACTTGCTGCAGCGTTTTTAGTGTATTCCATATACATCACAGTGATTGATTTCATGTAGTGAATACATTGGCAGATGCAAAGTAGAATATTCACCAGAGAGATGAGCAGTTAGGTAGGTGGATAAATAGTTGTATAGCACCAAATTTCAGAGTTTTGACTAGGCGGCAATCATTTATATAAACTTTGGAAGTAAATTATTCTGGTTAGAATAAATGCCTGTATGCAAATTAGTCAGCATTTTGAAAATGATACCAAACATGTGCAGCACTCAATTGTTTAGCAGAGGTAGGCAGAAATTGAAATCTTTTTTGAAGACATTGATAAATTTTCACTAAAATTCTTCAGTATAAATTGATTTTAAATTTAAGTGCAATAAGTTAAGCATCACAAATTAAAATTAAAATACGAAAATAAAGTTGAAGTATTGCAAGTTCAATCGACTTGGAAAACTTGAGGCATGAAGATAAAATTTCGCGTATAACTCAAAATTTGATCACAAATTCCAAAGTAAGCAGTGCTCATTACAGATTTATTTATTAATTAGCTTGGAAAAAAATAAAATAAATATACAATTGATCTAAATCAAACTGCGTCTGAAAGATATCTTTTTTTCTTTTAATTAGAATGAAACATTTTCGGTATTACTGAGTAATTTAAAAATGATGCAGTTTTAATAATAAGGAATCAGAATCAGAATCTGAATCTGAGAAAGTGAAAACAAATAATTTTTTTGAGATTTGTGCAATCCTCAATGAATTATGCACAAAAGCTGGTCAAATTAAGTTCTGCGAATTAAATCCACGTTTACAAAAAGATCGCTTGTGAATTGCGTATCATTAAAAAAAACTGAAGTGCCAATTTGGACTTTTTTGTCTCAATCACACTTTTAGTAATGATATATGGAATAATTTTTCTGCTTTCCTGTCACAGTGATAAGTGAAGGAGGATAAACCAAGACATGTTCTTCCCTCAGAGTTGTTTAGCAGAGGAATAAGACAAAAGTGACCACTTCCTTAATTAATTACTTTTATGTAGTCATTATCACAACATTTGTAATTATCACAGTACTACATTTACAGATAAAACAATACACACACTTTAGCACAATGCATTTGTTAAGTGCTAGGATACAGCGTTAATTTTTGGTGAAAAATGAAGAAGCACTTATTACTTCGAAAAAATTGATCGCATTCAAAAAATGATACTGATAAGATGGTGAGAGAATAAATAGTGCTGGTGATTACAGATCAATATCATTATTGCTGACCCTTAACCTAACCTCCTCCCATTGCTATAGCTTTCTTCAAACTCGGCCCTTTCATATTCATCAAATCTCTCCTCTCAGCAATTGTTAAATTTGACCATTGCTCGTTTGGTTCATCATTTGGACTGATGGAACTAGCACAAGACCCTCCAAAAAATACCAGTGATGGCACAGCTATTGTCACTGCAGCTGACACTTCTGTGAATTTCCATAAACACACCAAATGGCTGGCTCATAAAAAGCAGTATATTATTCACATAATACTATTGACTACTTTAATTTGTCTTTTCTGTGGTATATTATTTATGGTTTTTGTTCGACCTCGTAAAACCATACCTGAAAAAGTAATATATTCCAAAGAAATCTTCAAAAACGGAAGTGAAACAAAGAAGCAGTCAATCCAGACTACTAAACTGCCCTTGGTTACGGTATCAAAAAGCAGAAGTAGTGAAGCAACTCCGACAAGTGGAAAGGTCAAGTCCACTACGAGTGCAGTAGAAATCACAGCTCTGCAGGAAGCAGAAGAATTTAATGCTGCACATACAGTAAATTTTTTAACGTGTTTCAGAAATGTATTTATTTCTATACCAACTACCTTGGTCAAAAAATTGGTTTTCAGAAAATTTTTGTGCTCAAATCTGACGAGGAAAAAGCAGAATTTTCAAATGTTATCAAATAAGATAAATCTTTTAATTTCAGAAAATATAAACAACTTTGCTTACAAGTTTTCTTCTTTGTATGCTGTGAGTTTTGTTAAAGCGTTGCTTACAGTATGATAAACGCAAGTTATTAAGTAAAAACGTGCAAATTTTTGTCAGAGTTTCAATTTTTCATCCGCAACAACAAGCGTAAACTATGAAGGTTTTGATTTCACGCAGTGTATTACTGTTTCAACTGAAAACAAAAATTGTCACCGTCAAATCCATCGTAAAAGTTTTCAAAAGTATGTGAGCATTATTTTTAAAAAACAAACCTATCTAATAAAATTTGATCTTGTTGGATTTTCACAAGTCTTCTGTATTTTTTGAAATCCTCATCATCATTTTTAGTATGTCTGTAATTTATATTTCCTGAAAAAAATTTCCGAGTTTAATTGATTTTTTGCAAGTTAAAATAAAGGAAATTGGAAATGAATTATAATTATATTCCTTTTTTATTAAACTAGCACTTGAATAGTTTTCGAAAGCCAAAGCTTAGTTATTAATCAGTTTGAGTAATTGAATTGAGTAATTCAATTCAACGAATGTTGCTTACAATTTAATTATCAGAAATAATTATTTTGTGTTCTTTTTTATGCATGCATAATATTGCTGCATCTTTCTTCCACATTTTATTCATTAAACTCAAAAAGCAAACTAAAAATTCGTCTAAATTTTTCCTCAGTTATTCAATTTCTTGTCAAATTTATCGCTAAATATGCATTTGAGTCCAAGTGTAAGACTGCTCAATTCATTTGACAAAAAGTGTCTATAAAGAGCACTCTAATGCACTTCTTTCTGAATTTTCAGCTATTTGTTTACTTTTATTTCGTATGAATTTGCTTATTTAATGCCAAGAAACTATAATTGTCTTCAAAACACTTTTAAATAACTGATTTATTTGGATAAAATTTTTATATATTATATTTTAGTGATGAAAATATACCAACAGAAGATTTGGTGGCTGATTTAGGTCATTTTATGGGATGGTATCCAAAGCATTATAATCTTAATATAACTGTTAATCGAGTTTCTCAAGTATCTTTCACAGGAAGTGTAGAAATATATGTAAGTTAAATATTAATTAGTTAATTAAAGGTCAAAGTATGAATTTTAATGCGTTTCAATATATAATTATTATATCACAGTGATGAGCAGTAATAAACTGACAAAATGTGCAGAAGTAAAGGCGTAATAAATTTAATCTAGACTAGACAATTTTTGAGGCAAGTAAATTATTACTAACGCCTTATTAATTATGAATAGCAGATTGCTTTGCTTTAAGCAGTCAATTCTGCATAGAATCAATAATCGCAATTATGTAAATTATTGTACAAGATATTATTAAAAAATACTTGTCAAGATAAGTATCACATTTTATGGCTGAATATTGTAGAGTATTGCTACAGAAACAACTTCGTCGATATCTGTGCACGCTGGTCGATTGATTTCTGAAATTGGCTTATCACAGATATCAGCTCATAATTGCCATACAGGTTTTCATTTTTAAAAGTTACTCCAAAAGAAAGTGAAATTGTATGCAAAGTTATAGGTAAGGTTTACTGTGCTGTATCGATTGTTTACCATCAGAGGTATGAAGTGTTATCAGTGGAGTTTGCGGAGCCAATCAGTGCTGGCGATATTATTGTCTTGCAGATTCAGAATTTTTCAAGTTTCGGTGCTTCAGACGGTCTTATTGTTAAAAGTCCTGAAGTATGGGAACCAAAACGGTAAATTTATTCGTCCTGCTTAACCTTTTGCTAATTGTAACAACTTATTCATTTGTTTGTGTTTACAAGCAAACAACAAAAGATTAATAAACAGACACAGTTAAATTGGAAAATAAATATTGAATGAGATATTACATATTTAGACCTTCTGCTATAAATTTGCTTTAAAATTGAAAAAACTGACAATTTTCAAGACCATGGACAGTAACAACGTTTTTCCAACTTCGAAATGCTCGAACGGTTTTTCCATGTTTTGATTTGCCAGTCATGAAAGCTAGCCTGAATTTATGCGTGAATCATCCATTTGGTACGGAAGCAAGGTGCATATCTGTTTTTACTTTTTATCCAGCCAAATAATAACAGAGTTATCACAATCCAAGCAATCAATAAAAGTCAAAGTTAAGGCTTATTTGAGTTTATATTGTGCAGAGATACTTTAGTTTGTTAATAAAAATTCACAAAGTGAAATAGTGAGAAACTCATGTAAAGCTAAAGTAAAAGTTTGTAAAGTGGAAATTTGTGGAGTGAAAAAAAGAAATATAATAGAAATTTAATCTAGGAAAGTTTTTCAGGTCAAATACAAAATTATCGCATATTTCAAAAAATTTGAATGAAATTGAGTCTTGTTTTGAGCGTACGCCACCACTGAGCAGCTATGTGTACGCATTTACTGTTTTTGATAAAATGAGTTCATTGAAAGATGCCGCTAAACCTCATGAATATTTACCAGAGGTTGAGGTACTGTATTCTGAGGAAGACAGTATTGTCAAGCCCGATTGGATAAGCACGGAAACAGTTCATGTATGACAGTTTTCAGCACTTTTTAACTTGGTCAATTTAAAAATAAAAAAATAAAATTTATATTTTTATTTATAAATCAAGCAAAGCTTGGAATTTCCCTTCATATTAAATTAAAGAAGAAACTTCAGTCTAAATTATTCAAAACAGTATAGAATGTATCTTTTGTTTCAACACTTTCTCACTTCTTTAAACTTAAAAATCAAACAAGCAATATTTGCTTTTCAATATTGAATAGATAAAAATAAGTTGTAAATACTTATAAATTTTATCAAATTAGAATTTCATTTTATTTTTCAAAATTATGAAAAACTGAGAAAGCTGTAATTTATTTTTATCATATTTGAAATCACTAAAAAATTTTTACATTTTGTTTTCTAAAATGTTCATTAATAGACTATAATCAAAAAAGTCTGATGCTAATAGTTGTGGTTAAGATAATAATCTTTAATTAAAAACGAGTCATCTGTTTATTTTTATTAACGCTTTGTTTTAGGCACTAAAAGTAATGGCAAATATTAGTAATTTTCGATATCCCTTAAACAAACTCAGCCTAATGGCATCTTACTTACCAGTTTATGGACTTGAAAATTTGGGTCTGGTCATTTTGGATGAGCGATTTGTAGCGTATCCAAAATATCGTCTAGCTCACACTATTCTTGCGCACGAAATTGCGCAGCATTGGATTGGCAGTATTGTTACTGTGAAGAAATGGAAGGAAATTTGCTTACAGGTTTGCTTGAGTTATCTTTCTTTGCTTAACACATTCTACAATTGAATACAATCTATAATCCCATGTATAATGCTAAGATTTAAATCACAAATGGATCAGTAATCAATCTGAATTACTTGCATAATTTGAAGTTTTTCTGTGCAAAGATTGGCAATTCTGTTCAATTATACCATTACTAATTTTGAAGTATTAAATCCCACAAAAACATCAATACAAGTTGCTACCTCATTCTACCCTAATAATTTTTCAGAATTTGCTTTTCATGAACGTTAGAATATGCTGTCTTTTTTAATCTGAATTTCATTTCAAACCTTTTGTCCATTCAAATGAATTTTTTTGCAACTTTTTCCTCAAAATTTTTCAAAATTTTCATTTAGGTACAAAATAAATGAAGAAAAGTTTTTAAATACAGTAACTGTCGCCTCAGAAGGTTAAATTTATCATTTATTTATTAGTTCAAAAATGATCCTTTTCTCAGATCTTTCAAGAAGGATCTAATCAATATGTCAATCAAATAAAAATGAACAGATTGTGATTGTTACTCAAATATACATACATATGTCTTCCATGCTCCCAAGAATGAAAATTATAAACAATGATTTGTTTGATTATGTGGTGTGTATGTGTGTTGTTCTATCAAATTTGCATATTTTTTTATTGGCAAGAAATAATTTGTTAGCTTAAAAAATTGTTAAGAAGGAAATGCCGATCTATGATGTGCTAGCTAACAGCTGTTACAAAGCTGGTGAATTTGTGCAGTGTTAGGATAAATGAAAGTAATTTGTGTCAAAGGTCGGGAGCTTAAGAGCTTAAAATTTCTATCTAAACACAAAATGGTATCAGCTTTTGATTTTCGTTTGATTCTTCCCAAATTACTGGGCAAAATACCTCAGAAAGAATGAATCACTTGACTTTTGTAACATTTCAAAAATTCAATCCTTCATCAAAAATTTAAAGTGCAGAACTGAAAATCGAATTCATGAATTTATTTCAAATTTTGTAACTAAAACAACTTTAAAAAACAAATTTCCAAAGGAACGAAACTTACTTTTATCATTAAAATTTAAATTAAGGTCCGAAATATTAGGCCAATAATGGGTTCAAATCGCCACTAGAAAGACTTAAGAGAAAATTTCATCCCTCAAAGTGGACAATGTCTAAATTTTTAACTTTATTTGTGCACTTCAGGAATAATGTCAGTTTTCTATGTTGCCAGTATTGCATATTACTTGCGATAAAGGCTTGAAATTTCCGAAAATTTTGACGCAGAAAAGACCAAGTCATTAAATATCGGTTTACCTACTGACAGCAATAACTAAGGAGTGATTACACATTGCACGTCAAGTTGACCTTTAGTCCCTCTAATTTGCATATATCACGGATTACTTTTTGCTAAAAAGTTTCGGGTAGACAAATAAACTAAGCACACAGCAGGAGTTCAGACAACAGGTGCATAAGTTATTGAACAGATGACAACTTCTAAACGGGTCATATGTCATTGTGCAGTAAAACGCAATTCATTCCTACTTTAGCACTGCAAGTCTTTTTATGTGCAAGGATAAACTCAAATTCATAGTTGAGGAAAATAAGACTTGCTTATCATGTTTACGTAAGTTTAACGTCAAATGAATACCTTAATTTAGTTCAGGATTGTCAATTAATTAGAAATAATGTGTTTTGATGATAAATATAAAATTTCAGGAAGGATTAAGTACTTACCTGGAATGGATAATAACAGCCAGTTTTGATAATTCCACGTATCTTAATGAACTAATCAACGAGAAACGGCGGGAAAGTATTACAAAGGACAGTACAACTTCCACAATAATCATTTCAGATTTTCAATCCTATCAAGATGTATGGCTACAGTAATTTTTAGAGCAGTATTTGTGATCTAACCACTCATCTGTTTACCACTTTAACTCTTACTGTTATAATTGTCTTTGAATATTATCAATTTTGATGGTTGAAAGTATCTCTTAGTAATCTAAATATATACTTTCAGATTTCACGATGCTTTGATAAATCGGCTATATTTTTCGCAATGCTTGAACTTGGATTTGGACCAGGAACAGTTGTAAGACTTGTAAGGTAAATTTTGCGATAATTGTGGATTATCTTTTCAAAGAATTTAAAAATGAGAAATTGAATTAATTAAAAAAATCGATCAACATGCAAATTTTTAAATACAAAGCAAATCATCAGTAATCAGCTAGAAAATAATTGTGTTATCTGACGGAGAAAACCAATTATTGACGTGAAAAATAAGCTATAATTCAAAATTTCAAATATGAGTTTTGTGCATTTGGATGTCAAAGATATTGTTAAACTTACCATTTTTAAATAGTTGACGTTAATATTCAGTTACTTAAAAGAGCTGACTACTTTTTTCTTGGTTATTTTTAGGATTTTGATGCAACGTTATTCATATGCAAATGCTGGATTTGCAGAATGGCGAAAAGTGATCGAGGAGGTTTCTGGTAATGTTGTAGCTGGTAAGTTTAAGCTTATTTTTGACATTTTTGACTGTTTTATATTAAAGATTGAGTTTAGGAGAATTCTTCGAGAAATATTTTACGCAGCCTGGGTTACCACTTATCCACGTTTCATCTACCTCGCAACAATTAACGCTTACGCAAGACATCACTGCTTTAAAGCAGCCAATAAATGCAAGTTTCTATTAATATCTAATTAAACTGACATTCATTTCTTCTTCCCAAAATTGTATTTACTATAATTATGAAAATTTTCAAAAATCACTTAGGTTGAAAATTTCGCGCTATAATTAAAAAACACGTTATGCAAAAAATGGATTGCTCTGTACTGTTGCACAATATGCTCATTTAATTAGCTTAGAAAAATTTTAGCGCAGTATTTACTTCATCTGTAGATGGATTAATAATTCCAGATATCTTCGACGATAATACCATTAGATGTTACCACTGATGCCTCGCCTACACGTAGTACACTCATATTAACTGAAAAAAGACAAATGTTCGAAGTGAAGAATGCTGGATTGGTAGTGGTTGACCCTGATGGACGCACTCATACGGTCATTGTGTATGAAGTAAGTTATGATTGCTTGGAGCCTCATAACTTTTGCACATGCTTTTTCTATAATGCAAGTTATTCGAAACTTTGATAAACAAATTATGACTGCTTCAAAACCATTATTTATGTTAGTTGATATAGAACGATCTACTACAAATGTCGAGAATTATAGGTATAGTTCATACAATAACTCTTTAATTTAGAATAATGCTCGCCTAAATACCTCAGAGCTGCTCCAGTTCATTGCTCTACATTTTTTTCTTCCTTTCTCAGTATACTTACGTTAATTTCTTTTTATTTTGTAGTATATTCTAAAACTCAAACCAAGTAGAAGTTAAAATTTGTGTTACAGATTGCTTGAACGTAAATTGGAAAGTACAGGGCCAAGTAGTAGTAGTATCACTATCACTTGAAGTTACTGAGCTTTCTGTAAAAGCAAATTTAATCTTATAGATTAATCATTATTTGAATCAAAGAATCGTCACTGCTTTAATCTTTCATTTCAGATAGAAATTTACTCCAATTTTACTAACTGCCTTCAACAGTCCGCATGCCAGGTGCTTCTGAAGCCGGAAACTATGAAACGAATTTTGGATGACTTTTGCTGGGCACTGCTAGCTGATCATTTTTCTGTCCCTGAAGATCAGCCTGATAAAGCTCAAGTTTGGACTCAATTCATGGACACTTTTTCTCAAACTAATTATGTTCGTGGCGTATGTGCTTGCTGTATGAATAAAAAGCTAGAAAAATCTGGCACTATCAGTTGTAGATGGCACTGGAGAGATGTATGTGAAAATCTTCGATTAATTAAACAAATCCGGTACCTAACATTATGAATCCCACTGAAGGCTTCGTTGTTTGCCACTTCTGAGCAGTCAAGCTTACTTACCATTTCTTTATGCTCCCCTATAATTTGGAGATTAAGCTTTAAATTCATTTCGAATTTTAATTCGAAATCCTAATCATTAACGCTAGTTCTTTGAAATTGAGAACTGCTCAGAAGCTTTTGATTTTGTTCACATTTGAAAATTTGAGTGTACAGTTAGTACTTTTTTTGAATCCAAAATAAAGATTCTTCTAAATATATCAATCTTAAGCTTAATTCCATACATCGGATTCCAAGAATTTTTCAAGTCCTCAATATGTATACTTATAACAACTACGATTTGTACTTATCTTTTCATAAACATTCAAGAACAGCTAACATTTTCAAGGCTGAGTTCAAAGCACTATCGAAATTAAAATCCTTTATAACCCATGAGAATCCCAGATGACAGTTACACTTAATTCATATTCTGTATATAAAAAATACATAACATACGCGAAATCACATTCCAGTATTAAGCTGCCACAAAAATATGAAAACCATTAAAAATCTTATTTGAAATTTTAAAATCAGCTTGAATCTATATTTCTTTACTACAAAACTAAAAATTTTATATGAATGAGAACATTCAATTTACAAGAAGTACACAAAAGTCACGCAATCTTAGAAGTAATTAGATAATTTCAACATAAATTGGTAAAGGTTTGCGAACATTAATTTGTAAACAAATGGTAAAACAAAAAGATGCCTCATTTAAAACAG